GCAGACTCACCTCAGCCTCCCAAAGGCACGGGATTACAGGCTGAGCCACCGAGCCCGGCAAAACACAACCTTTTATAATGTGTTCAATAAACAACTGAACTCTGAAAAAAAAAAAAAGAATCACCTCAATGACATCTGCATTCAGAGAAGTTAAACAACTTATTCAATCTCACAAGCTACATAGTGACCAAAATGTACTCTATTAGAACCCTTTCAGTGACAGGAAGCTCACTCCTTCTACAGATGGTTTTGTAAGTAGGAGAATGGTGCAGCGGAAGCATGCTGGGCCCATAAAGATGTTTTTGTAGCCAGCTAAGATCATGGACTCTAGCCGGGCTTGGTGGCTCAGCCTGTAATCCCGCGCCTTTGGGAGGCTGAGGTGAGTGGATTGCCTGAGCCTGCGGGTTCGAGACCCGCCTGGGCAGCGAGACCTCATCTCAACAATAAAATCACAAAATCAGCCGGGCGTGGTGGCACATGCCAGTAATTCCAGCTACTTGGAAGGCTGAGGCAGAAGGATCGCCGGAGCCCAGCAGGTCAAGGTTGTGGTGGCCGGGAGCGGCCACTGCACTCCAGTCTGGGCGACAGAGTGAGACTCCAACTCAAAAAAGAAAAAAAAAAAGATCATGGACTCTAAAATCAGGCTGCCCTGAGTTTGAATTCTCAGTCCTTCCACTATTTAGGAATGTAGTGCTAGGTAAGTGACTTTACTACAGAGCTGCTGTGGTCTGAATGTGTCCCCCCAAATTCACATGTTGAAACTTCATCTCCAATGTGATAGTATTAAGAGGTAGGGCCTTTAGGGGGTGATTAAGAGTGGCGCCCTCACGAATGGGATTAGAGATCTTATATTAATAAAAGAGGCTTGAGGGAACTAGCTACTCCCCTTTTGCCTTTCCATTCTTCTGTCATGTTCCACAGAGGAGGCACTATCTATGAGGAACAGGCCCTTACCAGACACCAAACCCGCCGGTGACTTGATCTGTACTTCCTAGCCATAGAACTCTGAGAAATAAATTTCTGCTGTTAAATTCCCCAGTCTCAGGTATTTTGTTACAGCAGCACAAACAGAATAAGATGTAAGCTTTAATTTCTTCATCAATTACATTGGCTTAATGACACCAACCTCATAGGAGTTAGTAAGGATTAAACTGAGATAATGCTTATAAAACACGTGGCATACTGTCTGAGACATAGTAAACATTCAATAAATGGGATCCATTATGAACTATCATAGAAAAGTCATGAGTCTAAAACTCAAATGTCTAGGGGGACCAAGTAGTTGAAGTTGTGTAGCAGGGGGTAGTAGGAGCTGTGTTGACCAGAAGATTTATGTCTCCTCTAAAGACATCAAATTAAAGTTTTACTTAAAACCAGGGGTAAAACAAAACAGGACACATTTGACAGCCGAATCTGGCTGGACATCTAATTTGCAATCCCTAGCCTAGGCCATTTGGGATGCTCTGAGTGCTAACAGTTTTCCTCATCTACCCTTTTTTGTTTCAGTCCATGGTGAAGACCAAAAGAGACACAGTAAAAGGCTACTTCCTGGCTGGAGGGAATATGGTGTGGTGGCCAGTAAGTGGTCTTTGGTTCAACTAAAGTCCCTTCTTAAAGAATTTTCAAGTGCTGATATTCTGTCCAGCCTTTGCTCTCCCAGGACTCGCTGATTCCATGTTGTCGGAGGTCATCGTCTAAACTAGTGAAGACTTAGCTCCAACTCAAATTTGTTTAAACAAAAAGAGAATCAATCAGCTCACCTAAGGGAAAAATCTGAGGTGTAGGATGGTTTCAGTGTGACTGAAGAGCATAGGCTCAAGTGATATCACTAGGACCTGGTTTCTCCATCCAATCTCTCTCTCTCTCCCTTTCTGTCTCCCTTACTCTCTCTCTCAGTCTCTCTTCCCCCCACTTGCCCCCCTCCCACCCCCCACACCTCAGCTATCTCTACCTCTGTCAGCTTTTCTTTTTCTGGATGAGTGCTATTCACAAACAGACCCAATCTCACAGTCACAAAATGGCAGACACTGCTTCAGACCTTTCCTTCTCCCAAGTTCCAGGCCTGCACTGGAAGAGTACTTGTCTTCATGGCAGTATATATCCAACATTATTAAACATAGATATATACATAAAGTATACACACACACACACACACACATATATATGTAAATTGCAACCTTAAATGGAATATATATATATATTAAATACTTATAAATGTGTATATGTGTGTGTGTGTGTATATATATTATATATATATATACGCACATGTATAAGTATTTATCTAGGCATATATTTTTCTTTCCTTGTTTTAAACCTGAGATTGCAAACATACATATTTTTTAAAAAAGCCAATTCGAGATAAAAAATTAAGTGAATAGCAGTGCAGGTGATACATGCATAGAGATAAGGCCATGAAGAAAGTACTCTATGACTGAATTTTAAGAATTTTAACACCACTCTCTATGACGAGTGGTGTTAATTTCCTAACATTCAGTAAGAATACAACAGTCTACTCAAGTCTGTGTGCTTCCTCAAGTCATTTCTGGGACCATTTCTCCGTTCATACTCCTTGGATTACCTTCCCCCAGGTAGGAAAAGAGAATTTGGGAAGCTTCCTCGGCCTTCCTCCTCACCTAGGGAGGAGGATACCAAGATGAAAGAGATGTAGTTGAGAAGACCAATTTTGGAATGAGTGCATCAGTTAGCTATTGCTGCCTAACAAACCACCCCAATATGTAGTGGCTTACAATAGCTAGAGTGCATTATTTCTAATTATTCCATGGTTTGACTGGGTGACTTTTCTGCTTTTCTTCCCAGGACTCACTCATGCAGCTGCATTTAGCCGGTGATGGGTGATGGGTTGGGATGGAAGTCCATGATGGCTTCATCCACATTTTGGGAGCTTTGGCAGGGATGGCTGGAATGCTGGGATTTCACTCTCATCATTTCAGTGGCCTAGCCCAAGGTTTTTGACAATATAACTGGATCCCAAGAGTGTAAAATTGACAACTGCCGAGCTGATAAAGCCTTGGCCTGGAAGTCAATGTCTTGCTTCCACCATATTTTGTTGGTCAAAGTAAGCCATAGGTCAACCCAATTTCTTTAAGGGTAGAATAGAAAAGTGACATTTCAATGGTGACATTGGGAATGGCTGAGTAAGGAACTTCAAAAATCCATAAAAGTAATGAGAACAATGACAAACATTGTCAAAATCAACTTTTTCAGAAATCTGGGAATTAACCAAATGCTGCATGCAACAATTCAGGAAGTATTTATTCCAGAAAAACAACTGGATCTCAGTTAAAAGAGTGGGTTTTGACCTTATTTTCATTACTTTCTTCAGCTCTGCACTAGACTTGAAAACCACCAGACTAGAGGAAACTAAAGCAATCAGAATGGTGTTGGAGTTTTTCAAAGCTCTATTTTCAAAGAATTGTTACTATACTACCTTCCTATTTTGCAGTTCACTGGAAAACCCCACTTGCAAGATAGGTAATATAGTTTTTATTTGACCTAACTCAGAACTAAGTGTGAATAGCTTTTTTCCCTAGACACATTTGTAGAAAAACAATCAGTGGCAATTGTTTAACATGGTAGCTCCCTAAGGCAATAACAGTGAAGCAAGCAATAGGTAACCAAAAAACTTAAAAGAAATAACTAGGGAATGAGATGCTCCTGGGGCACTTTGAAAAGCTCCAACATATCCCTGGGAATCTAGAAGGCCATGTACACAAGCATGTGAAGATGCTCAGGAAAGACCTGAGAAGGCCCTAAGCTCTTAAGTCTTGTTGACCCTGAGGCTCTGCACAAGCAGGAAATGAAGGCTAAAGTAGAGTTGTTAACTGCCAGGCTGAGTATTGATAGCAAGCTCCAGTAGGTTCACTGCTCCTTGGCAGAGGTTGGGAGAACCGTAAAGATTGAGAACATGGTTAGTTCTAGGCGTTTAAGGAAATATCTGTTCAGTCATTAGCTGCCCACTAAACAGCGTATATTTCAGTGGCCACACATGACAAACAATACAGACTTCATATAATTCACTTAATAAAGTCATGAAACGCCGGGCTCGGTGACTCAGCCTGTAATCCCGTGCCTTTGGGAGGCTGAGGTGAGTGGATTGCTTGAGCCCACAGGTTCGAGACCCGCCTGGGCAGTGAGACCTCATCTCTACAATAAATAAAAAAATCAGCCGGGCGTGGTAGCACATGCCTGTAATTCCAGCTACTTGGAAGGCTGAGGCGGAAGGATCACCAGAGCCCAGCAGGTCGAGGCTGCGGTGGCCGGGAGCGGCCACTGCACTCCAGTCTGGGCGACAGAGTGAGACTCTAACTCAAAAAAATAAAAATAAAAACAAAGTCATGAAACAAACAATAGTAGCAGCAATAACAGCAACAATGAATAGCCTTTACAGTCATTCCTGAGGAGTGGGGAACAATCAGATTTCAGAGTTGCCATGTGACATTAAAAGACATTTCAAATGTCCATTTTTAACAACAACAACAAAAGATATGCAAAAAAATAAGAAACTGTGGTGAATACATAGGAAAAAAAGGCAGTCAGTAGAAAGTATCCCTGATGAAAGCCAGATGCTGAACGTATTAAACAAAGGCCTTAAGCAAGCTTTAAAAAATATATTTCAAGCTGGGTGTGTAATCTCAGCACTTAGGGAGGCAGAGGCGAGAGGACTGCCTGAGGCTACGGGTTTGAGAGCAGCCTGGGCAACTTGGCAAGACCTTCTCTCTACAATAAATTTTTTTAAAAAAATTAGCCTGGTGTGGTGGCTCACGTCTGTGGTTTCAGCTACTTGGAAGGCTGAGGTGGAAGGATCACCTGAGCCCAGCAGGTAGAGGCTGCGGTGGCCATGAGAGTGCCACTGCACTCCAGCCTGGGTAACAGTGAGACTCTGACTCAAAAAAAATAAAAAATAAATTAAAAAAAACTAAAAAGAAGCCAGGCTCGGTGCCTCAGCCTGTAATCCCAGCACTTTGGGAGGCTGAGGTGAGTGGATTGCCTGAGCCCGTGGGTTCGAGACCCGCCTGGCAACTTGGCGAGACCTCATCTCTACAATAAATCAAAAAAATTAGCCGGGCGTGGTAGTGCACGCCTGTAGTTCCAGCTACTTGGAAGGCTGGGGCAGAAGGATCGCCGGAGCCCAGCAGGTTGAGGCTGCGGTGGCCGGGAGTGGCCACTGCACTCCAGTTTGAGCAACA